CATCGTGTGCACAGATGCATATTGTTTCTCACATAGGCAACATTCATCCTGTGATGCTAGGAGATTTGCTGCTTGGGGACAGCAGACCAGCCTGTACTTTTTTTGTGTGTGAATAGTACACAGGTCATACAGAATTTTGTGGCCCTGCTAGATTGGAACAGAACTAAATACCATCTTCTCTGTCTACCCATTAACCTTACATTAAATTCACCTAGGCAATCACACTGTTCATTTGCTTTGCAACAGCACCCAGAAGGCTGATCACACAGGACAATGAGTGTTCTGATTAAATAAGTTTCTGGTCTGGTCTATCACTTGCTTTTGAATTATTCTACGAACTCCCTGCACAGCCCTGAAAATGCAGTCACATATAGCTTCTGGGAGTGACTTAAGGCACCAAACTACAGCCTTAACAACTGAAGTGCTTGACCAAGGATACATTGAAACCCAACCTCTGTGGGTTGGTCCCAGTCTTCCTGTCCAGCCCTATTTCCTACCTCCAAATTAACCCCACATTGCGCTTTGCCCTTGGCAACTCACTTGCCTGCTTGGGCCTCCATTTTTCCCAGAACACCAGTTGCCTGAGTGCCTCTCTCATCTATTCCGCACCCCATGCTACTCCTCTGTGCTGCAGAGAAGGAGAGTGGCTGGGACCAAGCGAGCAGTGGGGAGAGGTGCTAAAATACATTATCAACTTTCGAATGAAGCAAACACTCCAGAGATCTGACACAGGCATGGTATGGTTTCCCCCAGCAGCGAGGTGGGAGCAGGGGGAGGGGCAGCACAGTGCTCCTAACTCTCTTGAGAGTGTATAGAAATTATCAGAATTCTTGGGTTGTTTGGAGAAGTTTCTGCTTCCTGAAGAAAACCACTGCCCTAAAACAGAAAACTGTAGGGAAATGGCTCGTTAGCAACAGTTTCAACACAACTCTCTAGAGGAAAAATCCTGATTTGTAACATTTGCTTCAGTGAGGAGAATTCTCTGACCATGACCGATTTTGAGCTGCCACTGTGATGTCACTCAGTGCTGGGTTGAGATAAGATGTACTCATTCGGCTGTCCTGAGCCAGAGTTAGCCAGTTCCAGCACACCACCGGGAATAGGCCAGCTTTGCCTTTGGGATACTCTTGCTTGGGATACTAAAAAACAGAGTTAAATTGATGATGATGATGATGATGATGATGATAATAATAATAAAATTATGGGGAAAGGCTCCACAGACCATCCTGTGGCCCTTCATTGCAGGTCCTTCCCTGGAACTCCACCTTGAAGCTCTTCTAGTGCTGCTCTGACCTCTGATCAGCCTTGGAAATGTGAAGGAACCTCAGCAAGTTAGTGGAAAATGCCTATTTGAGGGAAAAAGAACTGTGTGCATTGATTTCAAAGATATGTGTGTGCCCATATAAAATGATCTTAATTCCATTCTTCCATGAACTTTTTGAAGTACCCTAGTAGCTGCCCCTTTTCTCTAGGACCAGAAACCTTGTCTAACAAATCACTTTAGTGCTGCCTCTACATATTATCATACTCCCGACCTCACATAATCTGGTGTACAGATGCTCTTTAACTTACATTACGGTGATATCCTGATAACACCCATTGTAAGTCAAATATGCATTTACTACACCTAGCCTGTGGAGCATCCCAACTTGGCAACACAGTGCACTGGAGTCTTGGTGGCTTCCACTTATAAATGCAAGCCTGATGGGGAGCTGCTCTCGCTGCTGCTGAACCTCACAGGAAAAGAATAGACTGCATGCCACTCTCCTGGGAAAAAATCACCACTGAAAATCCAAAAACATTTTCTAGTGGATGCACATTGCCTTCACACCATTATAAAGTTAAAAAATCGTAAATTGAACCATCGCAAGTCAGGGACCATCTGTATATTTAATGAAATCTGCTGTTTAACAGGTGTCTCATAATCCATAAAACGTGACTCTTAAGCCTTTGCTGGAAGAACCCTCTGTTCTAGGTCTGAAAGTGAGAAGGGGTGTGGCTCAAGGATATTTGTGCAGGATAGTAGAGGCTGGAGCTCTTATCCCAACACCTTCCTCTCCATTCCACCAGCTCAGGGGGCCACAGAGAGTCATTCATTCTAGAAATATTCCACTAAAGAAGAGCTATTCAATAACAGAATAAACCAGATGAGAAGCCCAAGCTTCTTGCAGTGTGTGTGTGTGTGTATGTGTGTGTGACAGAGAGAGAGAGAGAGAGAGAGAGAGAGAGAGAGAGAGAGAGGCTGACTTAGGGTCAGAGATACACACTGTGTATCAGATTCACAATGGAGGAAGACTAACAGGGTCAACGTCAAGAACTCCATCTCAGATAAATCTCACCCCCACAACCCTCACACCCTCTTGACCTCTATGCCTGGTTTTACAATTTCGACCACTCAAGTTTTCTCCAGGGAGGGTGCCAGGGTTCAAAACCTACCAAGCTAACCTGGAAACAGAGTTTCTGCCATCTTGTAGCTTGAATGAAGGACTTCTATGAAGACTGAGTAAGAACTCCCTTTAAGACTTCAAAAATATCCCAGAGCAAAAGGCAAGAGGGAGTGTTATTCTCACCCAGGCAGCACTCCTGAACCTTCTCAAGCCTCCACGCCAAGTAGTGAGGGTTCTGGGCTCAGACTGCTGGTCTGAAAACACAAGCTTCAGTCCCAACTTCAGCTTGTAGAGAGACATGGGACTCTATCATTGTTTGCTTCTACAGTATTAATGGTATATTTGATTGGTGCTTTTCTATTTTACAAAAATACTTCCACATTTTGTTGAGCTTAGTTTTGTCATCACAAGCATCTATTGCAGAGGCAGCACAAGGTAATCATTCAGAACATGGGACTGTATATACAGAGTCTCCAGACTGGACCCTTAGCTCTGCCACTTTCTGGCTGTGTTGGCTTTGGACAGGTTGCTTATGGCTCTGTGTTACAACATCTTCATCTGTAAAATGGGGCTGATAATGATAGCTAGCCTACAGTGTTGCTATGGGGATGAAATGACTTAAGATTTATATAGCACTTAGTGCCTGATTCTCTCATGGTGATTTGTATATAAATGTTTTGAAAATCGGCATGGATGCTTTCACACTAGAGATAATAACTGTCACTACTGTGCTCTAAGCAACCACCAGATTTGTCCAATGTAGCTTCTTCAGTGTTTCAAGAACTCTTGTTCTCCCCATCTCTTCCATTCCCACTGCCCTAGTTTAGGCACATAGGCACAGCAAACCACTAGCCCTGCAGGGCTCTACTTGCTGGTCTGCCCTATTGCAATCTTCTTCGACTCTGCAGGCTCCCACTTGTCTGGCTGCCTCCTGCTCATGCTCTATCACAATGTGTCCTTAGATTATAGACTCTTCAAGAGGAGAAACCATCATCTTTGAATTATCAGCATCCACAATAGTGCCCGCCACAAAGAAAGTACTCAACAATCATGTGTTGAGTTAGTGGTGGCTTGCGGTGTCCCAGGCCCTATGTGTTGATGTACACGAGGGGTCTCATTCAATCCTACCCAGATCCCTACATGGCAGCAAGTGCAATTGTTATCCTCATAACACAAATGAGAAAACTGAGGCTTGGAAATGTTAAATGGATTTTCCAGAAGCACATAAATGTTCTCATGGCCATTCTCTTCCTTACCCGATAATCTGCAGTGTATAATGATGGCAAATAGGTGAGGATACCAGGAAGCTACAATTGATATAACTTGATGCATGAAATTATGATATTGCATTTGCTCATCAAAGGAACTTTTACTGGGGCTGGCGTTTGGCACAGTGGCTAAAGTCACCACTTAAGACACCTGCATCCCATACCAGAGTGCCTAGTTCAAGTCCTTGCTACTCTGACCCAGCTTCCTGGTAATGTGCATCCTGAAAGGCAGCAGATGATGATTCAAATACTTAAGTCCATGCCGTGTTGCAGGTTCCACATTCCAGGTACCTGGCTTCAGCCTGGCCCAGCATTTGGGGAGTGAACTAGCTGATGGACGACATCTATTTATTTATTTTCTCTCTCTCTCTCTCTCCCATAAAAAGAAAATAAACTATTTTTAAAAGACCTGTTAATATGTTTTTAGTTTGTTCTCAAAGTATCTTTCCTTAGATAATTTGTAATCTTTTGTGAAGGAAAAAGTCACAGAATGAAAAACTTGTCTATTTCTTATCCAACTGGTCTGTAATATTGATACTGCTTATCAATTGGTCCGTGAGACCATTGGAGGCTACACTTTAATCCCATCATGTATGTCAAGAGTATAGCTAGGGTCTTATCTATGCATTATGATTAAAAATATTTTATGGCCAACAGAAGTTATGAACGGTCGCTCTGTATAGTCAAAATCATGTTATTCTGAGGCAGGAGGGGAAGGTTTTACAGATTAACGGTATTGGTGGTGGTGGTGGTGGCAGTGCCAGGTAGCATTTATTGAGTACTTACGATGTGCCAGGCCCACTGTGCGATTTTGCTTGCATTATCTCATTTAAGCCCTGTGCAATAGGTTCTGCTGTTTTCTTTCACAGGGAAACTGGGACTCAGAGAATTTAAGTCACTTGTTTGAGGTCACGCATCTAGTGGCTGTGGAAATCTCAATACGTGGGTCTCGAGAAAACCTCTGCTTTTATTAAGCTAGACTTTGAAGGCTGTCCACATTATTTAGTCTTCTCTGAGCCTCAGTTTCCCCACCTGTAAAATTGAGGGAAAAAATTTACTTGACTTATAGAGTTACTGTGAAGATCAGAAGGAACAGATGTCCGGGACCCAGGAGCACACAGCAGATATTTAAACCATAGTAGCGATGTTTATGCATAAATGGGACATAATAAAATCTCAGATCCCTTTAAAGACACTGGGGAGGTGGAGAGGAGACTCTCCAGTTCTGGATGTCTTAAGAGCTGGCCCTCTCCCCTTCCAGAATAGAGTGGCCCAATGAAACTCTGAGCGACAGGCGAGGGGGCAGGGGCCTGAGTTTGGCTCCAGCAACCTCGGCTGGCAGTCGGAAGAGGGGCGGGAAGCTGGGAGGGGCGTAAAAACTGCGGGCGTCACAGGACTGCAGGTGCTAGGCAGAGTTGGTGTAGGTGGGCTCCCAGAGCCTGGCGAGGGAGGGGAGGAGGTCGGGGCGGGCCGGCCGGCGGGAGGGGGAGAGAGGTGGGCGGGGCTCGCAGCCTGAGAGGCTGTCCTTATACAGCTCTTCGCATGCCGGGCAGTTTGCTGCATCTGGAGGAGCTCACTGGAGAATCTCCAACGTCGGAGCGGCCCTTCAACTACCGTAAGTACCTGCAAATGAGCGCATAGTCCAGTGGCTGAAGATTAATTACTGGCCACCAGATCCCAAAATGAAACCCCGAAAAAATCTCCCTGCTGTAATTAATTGTCATAAATCTAACTGCCCTCCAGACTAGCCCTCGCCACCCCTTCATCCCTTCCTTTCCTCCTCGCTTGTCGGATCCCAGCGCTGTCTTACTGAGAATCTCTGGGCAGTGTGAAATCTTCCTTTTTCCTTCTCAGTCTTCCCTCCAAACCCTCAGAGGAGCAGGTACCCGGCACCCCGCCGAGCCCAACCCCTTTGATTCCTGGAGCCCTCAAAGCTATGCAGGAGGCGAACCTTTAGGCATTTCCGGGTCTGTCACCCTCCAAAGCACTGCGGCGCTGCCTAAGGGTGGGGAAAGTGCTTGGGGTGAGGTGAAAGGGGAGGGTAAAAGGGCCCAGAGAGCCCAAGTTGGGGGTGGGGGTGCGGGTGAAAGGCCAAAAATGGGCGTGGCCAATTAACCTGCATCCTATGGCTGTTCACACGTTGCCTGGGCAAAGATTCATTATTTGGACTGGCTAGTCAATGGAGCAGCTGGTTTAGTGATTGAGAAGGGGTCAGCCATGCTGAGAAGCCCAGCTTCCCTGAGTCGCTCAAACTCTCAGGAGGCAAAGACCCTGATCTGGGGTTCCAGGTGACAAGTTTGGGACCTCAGATGGCATTTCCTGTGTGGAATCTCAGGTTGAACCTTTCCTCTGGCTTCTCCCAATAAATCCTGGCCCAGTGCCTCAGGGGAACAAAGCAACAGGGTGGCACCCAAACCTTGGCCTGGCCCTGAGGTAGAAAGAGCGCCTTTAGGGCAGTACACGGGTTTGGATGCCTGCTTTGCAAAGAACAAATAACCACCTTTTGAAAATGAAATTCTCACTCTATGCCTGGCACTGTACATAACGTAATCTCTAATTCATCACAACGACAATGCTAAGCAGCTACCATTCCTCCTCTTAATGGATAAAGAAAGTTCAGGGACGGTCAACTGAGTATTTCTCCAGGAAAAGTGAGACATGAAAAGCAGAGCTCTGCCTCCTTCCATCATTCCCTGGCCACCTCTTTTCCACAGCCCTGATATTGTGAAAATGAAACTTTCCCTCTTCCCGCTGCTCTATCCTACTTCGTCTTTATCTATCTATCTATCTATCTATCCATCCATCCTACCTGCTGCTCTATCCTACCTTGCTGGATGAGGTCCTAGGATCAGTTCGGAAAAGCAAAATCACCCCTGTCTCTGTTCTGGAAACTGCTTCTACCCTACTTCTAGCTAGCATTAGACAGCTGCAGTCAGCTAGGCCCTCAGATGCTGAATACAGAGTTAGTTGAGGAAAATTATCCTGAGTTTGTATAGTGGTGACACACTTTTCCTTGGCAAAAGATTACTCTGGGAGGAGAGAAAAAAGGCACAAAATTTTAGGGGTGTACCTTGTAGGTATATGTGGGGGCCTATGGTTAGCAATGACTTCTGGGAAAATCCAAAGACCTCCCCGAACTCAAAGAGCTTTGCCATATTTCCTGAAATTCAGTCAATTTCATTTTCCCTGGGGGTAATGAACAAAACTGGTTAAAAGCTATGGGCAGCCAAGAAATCCTTTACACCTTATGTTAACTTAGGTGTAAGCAGCTTGAGTCCCCAGTACCTACTTGAGATGAGAATATTGAGCTTTGAGGGTAAGAGATAGGAATGAGAGTTGTATTTGGATGATCTGAAGCATTTCACAGAAGGGAAGGTTTTGATAGGATTGATGGGGGGGGAGGGAAGTTCAGGAGGGGGACAAGGGCTGCCTTTGGAATAGTGGTTTTAGAGGATGGGTCTTGGTGTTAAATATATATTTGAATTTTGGCCCTAACTTTTTATATCTTTTGACTTTGAGCAAATTATATATTCTGTCTAAACCTCAGTTTCCTCACCAGCAAAATGGGGATGCTAAGTGTGTTGGAGAACTCAGTGCATGTGTGTGTGTGTGTGTGTGTGTGTAAGCAAAGGATCTGAAAAGGAGACTGCCAGCTCCCATCTCTTCTGTCCCATGGGGCTTCTGAAGGCTTGTTTGAGTTTGCCTTTTGGGACCTCTGAGATCCCAGGGACAAATAGACATTCAACCAAATCTGTCATTGTACAAATCTGTCATTGTGCATGCCAGCAAGGACCTTGGAGGGGAAGCTGGGAAGTGAGGAAAAGAGACAAGCAGAGCAAGTGGCAAGTGGCCTTGTAATGGCCCGCATGCCTGTGAGGGAGTGGAATGTAGTGTTGTCAAGGGCAGTTCAGTGATCTCAACTAAACTTTAAGGAGCAGGACAAGTCCTGTGAGTAAAAACAGTTCTGCCTTTAGATCCCACCACCTGCTGATAAGCAAAAGCCTTCAAGACCCAGAGCGCACAGCCGGCGCCAGAGGCCCCACAGCCCTGCACAGACCAGGGAAGGAGGCCACCATGCTGCGGACATTCTCTATCTTGCTCTTTTGCATTCGTGAGTACGAGGAAGGGGTGAGGGGGAAAGCGACCGTGTCGGAGGTATCCCATGAATGGGCACTTTGGGGAGGTGGAGGAAAATGTTGAGGTTTGAGGGTAGAGTGGAAGAATGCAGGGGGCTCTCCTTTACGATAATCTGTCTTTTCAGGGCTGAGCCTGGGTGTGCCATCCCTAGGTAAGTGAGTCCTGCCCTCTCAGGTGCTTTCCTTCCTGAAGTATCCAAGACTTTGGCCTGCCCTGGACATAGCTGGTTTGAGATCCCAAAGACAGATTAGGCAGGTTGGGGATCACGGCACCTCACTGCGTGGCTGGCTTCCTGTGGAATAGTGTGGAGCTTTATCTCGGAGGGAAAGGAAGGCAGATTTGTACTTTATTCACCAACACACTTGCATTCCTTGAGCAAGTATCCTGGGGTCTGTATCCCATACCCCACACAAATAGACACTGCTGTCCCTAAGGGAAGCCAAAAGAGGGATGTCTGTCAGAGCTAACTTTAGCAGACATTGTGGGGGCATGTTATGGGAGGGAGAAGGCTGGGCTACTCACATCTTTTTGATCTTTGGGAATAATAGTGATGGAATCTCAACCGGAGCTGTGGATAGAGTCCAACTACCCGCAGGCCCCTTGGGAGAACATCACACTGTGGTGCAGGAGCCCCTCTCGGATATCCAGCAAGTTCCTGCTGCTGAAAGATAAGACAGAGATGACCTGGATCCGCCCTTCCTTCAAGACCTTCCAAGTGTCATTCCATATAGGTGCCCTTACTGAATCCAATACAGGTCTTTATAGGTGCTGTTACTGGAAGGAGACAGGCTGGTCGAAGCCCAGCAAAGTTCTGGAGTTGGAGGCACCAGGTAAGAAGATAGGTACTTGAGCATAAACTCCAGCTCCTGGGATTCAAACTTGCTTTCCCATGGCAGGATTTGTTTCATTCATTCATTCATTCATTCACCTCAAATGCATGCATGCATGCATGCCTTCCACAGTTAGTAAACGAGAACCTCTGTATTAGGCTGTGACTCTGGAACAGAGATCACGCAGTGGAGCCTCATTTGAAGCACAACTCTACTTTGCTGCTCTTTGGGCAGCACTGTCCCTGCTCTTCCTAATTCCAGTTCATTCTTTCCTTCCAGGACAGCTGCCTAAGCCCATCTTCTGGATCCAAGCTGAGACTCCTCCTCTTCCCGGATGCAATGTCAACATCCTCTGCCATGGCTGGCTGCAGGATCTGGTATTCATGCTGTTTAAAGAGGGATACGCCGAACCCGTGGATTACCAAGTCCCAACTGGGACAATGGCCATATTCTCCATTGACAACATGACACCTGAGAATGAAGGGGTTTACATCTGCCGCACTCACATCCAGATGCTCCCCACCCTGTGGTCAGAGCCCAGCAACCCCCTGAAGCTGGTTGTAGCAGGTGGGTGTGGCCATGGCTGCTGGCATCTGACAATTGTTGTCCCAGGGATCATGGCTGGTTGAGCCAGGGCTTCTGGTTTTACTTTCCTCATCCATTTCTTGGGCCCTGCAAGGCCTGTGAGCTAGAGTCATCTCACATTTTCCTGAGAAAGAATTAGAATCACACACACTGCAAGTCAGATGAATGGGAGCCCATCATTTCACTAGGGAGTGAACCCAACAAACTGTCCAGCAGCTTTCATTCAGTGAAATTCTGTTCAATATCATGCCTTCATTCATTTAATCAGTATTTATTGAGCACCTAATATGTGCCAGGCACAGCCAATGCAACCTTATAAACCAATTTTTGAAACTTTAGATATAGTCTATTTATGATTATTATTTTTAAGTGTGGAAAATAGAACAAATTGCTAGTGCTGCTGATTAAAAACAAAACAAAACAAATGGCAAAGAAAGTGGTAGCTCATGTTGTAGAAATGGCTTTATAAATTACTTTGGTCCCACATGAATAGAACCAGTAAGACAGCACCAAGCTCTAAACACAGAAGGCTCCCTAAAATGTCCAAATACCAGACGCATACCCCAGTCCTAGCCCTCCCCACCCCTGCCCCATGGCCTGGGTGTTGATGGAATTGGCTGTATTTGTTTTAGTCTTTCTATCAAGCTAAATAGGCTTAGGGAAAGCTGTGGTGCTACAGAAAGTACCCTGGACTTAGACGCAGCAGTAATCTGGTTTCTAGTTCCACCCCTGACACTGCCTCCCTGCATGATCTTGAGCAAATCATTTCACCTCTCTGTGCTTTGGTTTCCTGCACTCTAAAACAGGAAAACAGTGTCTATCCAATCTATTCTGTAATGCCTCTCTGTTCCTCAGTTTCCTGATCTACAAAGTTGGTATAAAAATAATGCCTACCTCACAGGGTTGTTGTGAGGATTTACCTAATTATAACATCTGTACAGTGCCTGGCATATATGTTCTCAATAAATGGTAGCTATTAATTTCATTAGTATAGCTTTTTATTGAGGATCAAAGAACAAAGGGCTGTCTGTTTGAACTGAATGTACGAATGTTTGTTGTACGCATGCCCTTCCAGCATAGATCCGACTAGCACACACTTTCCTAGTTACCTGAGCACCATTATTCCCAACTAGTCCCTGAACTCTTGGCTGGCAGGGACCATGCCTTCTTTAACAATGTACACCTAAACCATCCTAATTGCTCGATAAGCATAATACAGAGATGAGTCTTCCATAATGGATTGTTGGGTGTGCCTGGGGTTGGGGTGAAGGAAAGAAACAGTGGTATGATGGTGAGGTTTGCCTTCACTTTTGTAGTACAATCTCCTTGCAGTAAAAGCCATGAAAATGAGGGCGTGGGCTCATTCTCAGAGCTTACTTTGATTTAACAGTCTTATTGGCCAAATTCTATTGATTGGCTTCTTCCAAACTTATGTTGGAAGTAGGGTCTTATGTGAGGTTAAAGTGTTCCAAAGCTTTCAATACAGCAGTTGACACTCAGGGTAAATAGAGATTAAAGCAGAGTCATTTTCAGAGATTTGATTCCTCAGGTGGTTGGAAGAACTCCATTTGGCATTTCAGAGACTGAGGACAGTACACACACTCCTCCACATGGCTAGAGCTCAGTAGAGCTTATAAAGTTCAGTAAAAGTGCAGAGGCATAAGCAGACCTACCCTTGATTACCTCAAGTTTCCAAAAAAGGGGCAGAGAGAGGATACAATAAACTTCAGCTATCATTTCTTGTCCAAAGAAACCAGGAAAATAAAAACCAAAGCTATGAGAGAAGAATCATCCTACCTCTAACTTCAGGGTCTCTTGCCTTTCTAGGACTCTACCCCAAACCAACTCTGACAGCCTATCCTGGGCACATTATGGCACCTGGAGAAAGCCTGAGTCTCAGGTGCCAAGGGCCAATCTATGGAATGGCTTTTGCTTTAATGAGGCTTGAAGACTTGGAGAAGTCCTTTTACCACAAGAAATCCATAAGGAATGAGGCATATTTCTTCTTCCGGTCTTTGAAGAGCCACGACGCTGGACATTACCTCTGTTTTTACTATGATGGGTCCTACAGGGGTTCACTTCTTAGTGATATCCTGGAAATCTGGGTAATTGGTAAGAGAGGGGTGTGCCATGGAACCCAGGTTAGGGAATAAGGATACAGAAACTCCCTTTGGGACTCCCTGGAAAACCTAATTGTGCAACCAGGGCTGACAGTGGAGAAGGGTACAGAAGTTGTACAAGTGGGGTTAGGCATGGATTTGCCAAGAGTGTGTTGCAGGAAGTGGAGGAAAAGAGCTCTTAAGCAGCAGGAAGAGAAAGCCCATTAGCCATTTCTGTTTTGGGTCTCATCCTAGACACCTTCCCTAAGACCTGGCTACTTGCTCAGCCTAGTCCTGTGGTCCAAACGGGTCAGAATGTGAGCCTGCAGTGTCGAGGACCAGTAGTTGGAGTGGGACTTGCCCTCTACAAGAAAGGAGAAGACAAACCACTTCAATTCTTGGATGCCGCCAGCATCAATGACAACAAATCATTCATCCTCAACAATGTGACCCTCAGTGATGCTGGCATCTACAGCTGCCACTATCTTCTCACCTGGAAGACCTCCATTAAGATGACATCACACAACACCGTGGAGCTTGTGGTTGTAGGCAAGTGCTAACAACTGCTTTTTATCATAAGCCTGTTTTTTTTTTTTTTTACCATTATTACAGTGTTCTAAGAAAGAACTAGTTGTCCTGCACTCTCTCAGAGCTATGAGCCAAGGGAAAAAAAAACACTGGAGGGTGGTGTGGAACTTTTTCCAAAAACTTTAGGGACCTTCTCTCCCAGGATTATTACTCTCAGAATGGCCAAGCTCCATTGTGACCCTGGGAAAAAATATTTTCTTTAAGGCCTGGGAAAGTTCACATGTGTGAGTTCTTCCTAATTGAAAGTGGGGAACCATGAGTCTTGGAGCACCATGGAGTAGGCCAAGGAATTTTGACTACAGTCAAATTTTGAAGTCACTGGTCAAGTGGAAGTGGAAAGGAAGCAAAGACCAAATGCAGAGCTTAGAAGCATTAAGTCAGGGAGAGGGGCCTGGGTTCAAGGTCACTTCTAACTCTAGTCTCTGGATTGGTTTCAGATAAGCCCCCTAAACCCTCCCTGTCAGCTTGGCCCAGCACCGTGTTCAAGCTAGGAAAGGCCATCACTCTTCAGTGCCGAGTAGCTCATCCAGTCCTTGAGTTTTCTCTGGAATGGGAAGAAAGAGTAACATTCCAAAAGTTCTCAGTGAATGGAGACTTCGTCATCAGTAATGTTGAAGGGAAAGGCACAGGGACCTACAGCTGCAGCTATCGCATAGAGGCACACCCTGACATATGGTCACAGCGCAGTGAGCCTCTGAAGCTGATGGGACCAGCAGGTGAGAGGCTAACTGTTCATAGGAGCTCCCCTGCATGCCCCTGGAATTCTAGAGCAGTGCCCAGAAAGATGTAAGAAATGGAGTCAGGGGCTTGGAAGTCTAGGCCCGTGGGTTGGGGTCTCCCCTTCCACCCGGGCTGTTGTAACAACCAATTGAAGGCAGTGAGTAGGATGCCTTCAAGGTTCGCATCCTCTATGGAAAGGATGGCCACTTCTGCCTCACCCTCTCAACATAAGTAGGTTCGGTAACCAGCTCCCCTTTCCCCATGGTACGTATTCACCTGCCCCTCTCCCCACCAAGGCCCCTGCTTCTGGTCTTCTCTGGCCACAGGCTTTCTCACCTGGAATTACGTTCTGAATGAAGCTATCAGGTTGTCCCTAATCATGCAGCTTGTTGCCTTGCTGGTGGTAGTGCTGTGGATAAGGTGGAAGTGTCGGAGACTCAGAATCAGGTAACTGTCTTGACTCAGTCCTCTCTTTCCTGAACCCAGATGAGTCTAGGCCTAGGCTCCCTCCGAGTTTCAGGAACGCATCATGCTATGCTTGAGATAAATCACGGGGGCATATCCTATAGGTTTCCTGCCTTCTGGGCTCACCTCACAGAGCGGCAGCACCCAAGCCCGAGGGTGGAAAACTGTAATTCTCCAGAGCTGGAGAAGTAATCAGAATCCCATCCAGTGACCCCCACCCCTACCCTCACCCCAAGATCTCCTCCCAAACCACTTTGCCCCTCTGATGTGATTGACTTCCTCCCCCTTACTTGGCCTGAACCTTTCCTCTTCTAAGAAGTTGTGCTGCCCTGCCTCACAGGTTGTTATCCAACTCCCATGCTCACTTGCCACCCTCATTGCAACCTAGAGGGTCTTGTGCTCCATCCTAGTTACTTCACAAAGCTAGCCTGTCACTCTGGCCTCCAACCACCTGTGCAGAGCACTCTTGGGACATAGTCTTCACCTGGATGGGCATCTGATGAGCCTCAGTGGATGGAGCCAGGGACTCAGCTTCTTTCCCTAACCCACGAAATGGGAAGCCAGATTGATTCCTCTGCCATTTCCTTTGATGCTTCGGTGTTCTCTGGTCCAGCTACCTTTCTCCCTGCTCGCTATGGCTTGTGCTCAGGCTAATGTTCTTGGGAATGAGACCTCAGCTCCTGAATGCCTTGTCCACTCCCTCTCACCCGCTTCTGGCTGCATTACCCTCCTCCACCGGGATCATAGACCTGTGTGTGTTTAAGAGTGTTCAATACACAACGGATGATGACTATGGTTATGTGTGTCTGTGTTTTCCAGTGGGATACGAGGGATAGATTGTTTGGGCAATGAGGAGGGGGGCACCTACGGCTTCTGAAAAAAAAAAAACACCCTTTGAGTTTTCAAAAAGTTTCAGTGGCGGTCAAGTTGTAGTTTTTCTCAGGATCTTTCCTGAGGCCCATGCACAACAGGATAATCTTTGAGCTAGAGGTTAGGTGAAAAAAATGTGTCTTCACATGCCCTACCTGGGCCCAGGACCAGTGAATCAAATAATGAGCTCAGAAACTAGATTTCAGAGAAAGCAGCTTTGAAAAGTATGTTTTCCTGATCAGGAAGTAGGGTCAGCGTTTTCTAAGTACAAATTGTCCAGTGGATTCTGGCTTAATATCATCTAATTCTACAGGACCCATGACACAAAGCTGCTGCTGCACATTTCTAGTGATAATCTGGGGGGAGGGAGGGAGGGGGATCCCTGTCCCTGGCAAGTTTAGCTCAGCACCGACTCTTTTCTGGTAATTCATCTCGGCTGCCTAGGCAACCCTTCCATAACAAAGGCAGGTGAGGCAAATTGGTCTGAGGACCAATGCTGCCATAATAACAAATGCTTCCAAACTTAAACTTGATGACGGAGAAACAGGCAAGTTTTCTCCTGCCGCCCCGACACGCGCCATCCAGAGATGCGGATCACATTGAGCTCCAGGAGTTCAGAGAGCAGGAGATATAAAAGCATTTTCACATCTGACGTCCAGCAACAGCCTATTCAGGGGCCACGGGGAGCTGACATATGATATGGGCTGGAGAGGGGAAAAGGGGAGGGGGGGCACGTAGGTCATGAACGAGAAAGAGGTTTGCAGGTGGTTAGGCCCTCAAAAAGAAAAAGTAATCAATGTCAACAGAGATTATATCCCATTATCCTGGGCATATCCAATTCCTATTGGGTAGTGAGTAAACCAATGACATAAATTGCCGCCCCCTTCTCTCCGCCCTCCCCCTAATCCCAGCAACTCCTCTCCTCTCTTTTCTGGTCTCACTAGAGAAGCCTGGTTGCTGGGAACAGCTCAAGGGGTCACCATGCTCTTCATAGTCACGGCCCTTCTCTGCTGTGGTGAGTACAAGGGGGTGGGGAAGGGGCCTGGGCAGAAGGCCGGGGTGAAGTGCCGCAGGGGCGGGGGCAGAGCCCTGGCAGCAATTTCTTTTGCAGGACTGTGCAGTGGGGTATTGACAGAAGAGACTGGTGAGTTTTCCCTGCTGCAGACTGGGACATTCCTCTCTGGAGATCCGAAATAACTACAGAGTGTCAGTGGCAGTGGCCAGGGAGTGACTGGTTGGGAGGGAAGGACAGCCAGGAAGGGGCACTTGCTAAAGCTGCTGGCAACATTCACTCTCCAACTCTGCCTTCCTGCCTGCAAAATTTCCCCCAACTTCTGCACTTTGCTGAGCCTCAGCTGAGACATCCGCCGCCCCTTTTCCCCAGCACCTGAGGAAGGAAGGAGGGAAGGAAGGAAAGGGTCCAGCCTGGGGTTGAGAGGGGAGGTGGGCAGTTGTGATCTGGGGCAGGGGTCCAAGGGCGAGGAAAAGAGGAGGGGGTGCGAAGGAAGAGGATGTCTTCATTAACTCTGCTGTTTCTAGAAATAATCATGCCAACCCCTAAGCCTGAGCTGTGGGCAGAGACCAACTTCCCCCTGGCCCCGTGGAAGAACTTAACCCTGTGGTGCAGAAGCCCTTCTGGCTCAACTAAGGAGTTTGTGTTGCTGAAGGATGGTACCGGGTGGATCGCAACTCGCCCGGCCTCAGAGCAGGTCCGGGCTGCCTTCCCCCTTGGTGCCCTGACCCAGAGCCACACCGGGAGTTACCACTGCCATTCATGGGAAGAGATGGCTGTGTCGGAGCCCAGTGAGGCGCTTGAGCTGGTGGGGACAGGTAAGAGAAGGCAGCAGGCCCTCCGGGGACGGGTCCCCGGCACCCTTGGGGACTCCAGCATTGTTCCTGGGAGTGGGGGAACGCACACGGAGACCGGAGACCGGAGCCCAAGGGACTGGTGCTGCCGGGAGGAGAGGAGGGGCATGAGGCTGGGGGAGGGGCGGGAAGGGGAGGAGAATGAGAAGAGACTGACAGCAAGAGCAGAGAGCCAGCCTAGGATAGATTTCTGTTTGTTCTGACAAAGTGACGCGGTGCAGGGGTGGGGGTTGGGGGGCATCTGAGCACCTCCAAACTTCTGACTCTTTTTCCATCCCATGTTGTTGCCCAGACATCCTCCCCAAACCTGTGCTTTCGGCTTCTCCCCCAGTCCGGGGCCAGGAGCTGCAAATCCAGTGCAAAGGATGGCTGGCAGGCCTGGGGTTCGCTCTGTACAAAGAGGGAGAGCAGGAACCTGTGCAGCGACTTGGTGCTGCGGGGAGAGAAGCCTTCTTTACGATCCAAAGAATGGAGGATAAAGACCAGGGCAATTACAGCTGCCGCACACACACTGAAAGGCGCCCCTTCAAGTGGTCGGAGCCCAGTGAGCCCCTGCAGCTTGTCATAAAAGGTAGAGCTGGAAAGCGGGTGCGAGGGAGGAGGGGAGGCACGGCTCTGGACCAGACACTCCTCTCCCCGCAGCAAAGTTTGCTGCTGGTCCTAGGAGCCTGTGTCCAATCTTAGAGCCAGGCAGGCGTGGCGCTGGGAGTGCCAGGGCCTCTGGCTGCACGATATTAATAGCCATAATCGTTATTAATAGCTTGGGTTTGTGGAGGCTGATTGAATTTTTCTAATTATTTTCCCATCAATTATCTCATTGAGCCATACGGCGAATCTTCAAGGGAGGTGCAGCAAGGCCCCATTACCCCCTCTTGTCCAAATGGTCAAACTGAGGCTCAGAGAAGCAGCGGAGCCCTAGTGAGCGCTCACTCCCTTCTTCCCCAGCCTCCGCTGCCTGCCCTGATGACAGCCAGGATTCCCTGGAGGAGGGGGCGGGGGGGGGGGAGGAGACAGGGCTCTGTGTGGGAGATTTTTAAATGCACTGACTTCTGAATGAAATACTACAGAGAAAGCAGAGCCGCTTCTTAGCCCCAGCGTTTGCTTGTTTTTTTTTTTTTTTAGTTTGTCTTAAGTTGTTGTTGGTGGTGTATTTTGTTATTTTGCCTTCTAGAAATGTACCCTAAACCTTTCTTCAAGACATGGCGCAGCCCTGTGGTCACCCCTGGTGCCCGAGTGACTTTCAATTGCTCCACCCCTCAACAGCACATGAGCTTTATTCTGTACAAGGACGGAAGTGAAGTAGCATCCAGTGACCGGTCTTGGGCAAGTCCGGGGGCCAGCATTGCTCACTTTCTGATCCTATCAGTGGGCATTGGTGATGGAGGGAACTACAGCTGCCGCTATTACGACTTTGCTATCTGGTCTGAGCCCAGTGACCCAGTGGAGCTTGTGGTGACAGGTTAGAGGGGGAGAATCCCCGTGGATGAGGTGCCCCCATCCCTGGGACAGTAGGTGGAAGGGCTGTCAGTGGGAGAGGAAGACAGGCTCCTCCTAAAAGACACTGAGAAAGCGCTTAGGACAGTGCCTGGCACGTGGCAAACAGTCCCATGTAGAACAGCTGTTCTTCTTCTTATTACAGGAAGAAGAGACAAAGGAGAGGGGGAGAGGCAAGTCATTCACTTCTGCAGAAAGAAGTGAGGCAGATGGGGTGGGGGGTGGGGGGGTACGATCCAAGAGCCAAGCTCCAGTTGCCCTAGTTCTGAAATCTTTTTGTAGCTTGGCCTTGAGCTTTAGGTTCAGTGTCCACTTTTTCTTTAGCTGGGCTGTCAGAGATTGGTGGGCTGGACAGCCCTCAGAGAAAGGGAGAAGGCCTTGAAATGTCAGCTGCACATTATGCAGTCATTACAAATGACACTTTTCAAAGGTTGTTTAACGTCACAGGAAAAAGTTAACAACATAAAGTGAAAAATATCCAACTACACACTGTGCATGTGGTAAGGCCTCAGTTATGTGAATAGTTATAGCTACATGGACATGAGCATGCACAGCCAAAAATACATGGGAAAGAAATATAAACAATGGTTATGTTTGACTGATAGAATTGTGTTTGCTTCGTTAGCTTCCCCCCACCGTATATGCTAATTTTCTACTATAAACATATGTTATTTCTTGGAATAGCACAGAGAAAGTGATGTGCAGAATGCTGGGGGAGAGCTTCTCTCATGTTGTGATCTCTTTAATTTCAGAATTCTACCCCAAACCCACTCTCCTGGCACAGCCAGGTCCCGTGGTGCTCCCTGGGAAGAATGTGACCCTGCGCTGCCAAGGAGCTTTCCAGGGCATGAGGTTTGCCCTCTTGCAGGAGGGGGCCCAGGCTCCCTTGCAGTTCCAGAGTGTCTCAGGAAACACGGCAGACTTTCTTCTCCATACAGTTGACGCAGAGGACTCTGGGAACTATAGCTGTATCTACTATGAGACCACCATGTCAAACAGGGGATCGTATCTCAGTATGCCTCTTATGATCTGGGTGACTGGTAAGGGCACACAAAACATGGGAATGGGATGGAGATAACTGGAGCAAGGGTTAGAGAGAGAACTATAGCATCCAGGAAGGGAGAGATCGAGACTTGATTCTGTGAGTGATAACTTTCCATACTTCCCACTTGACATCTTTGATCTCTTTCTCCTCCTAGACACATTCCCCAAGCCATCGCTGTTCGCGGAGCCCAGTTCTGTGGTCCCCATGGGACAGAATGTTACTCTATGGTGCCAAGGGCCGGTGCATGGAGTAGGGTACATTCTGCACAAAGAAGGAGAAGCCACTTCAGTGCCACTCTGGGGATCCACCAGTAATGACGGGGCATTTCCCATCACCAATATGTCTGGTGCTAGCATAGGGCGTTATAGCTGCTGCTACCACCCGGACTGGACCAGCCCTATCAAGTTACAGCCCAGCAACACCCTGGAGCTCATAGTCACAGGTAAGGGAAAGGTGCTCTGGAGCGGGCAGGAGAGTGTTCCAAACAGGGAATAGACCAGTTTCGGGGAGGTGGTTTTCAAAGAGCTCAAGGAGAGGCAAGCAGCAGCCTTTCGTCTTTCTCGAACACAGACTTCAGGGGTGATGCCCTGGAAAGTGGCCTCCTCTCTCTGACCAGGAGTACATTTCTTCCAGGCTTACTCCCTAAACCAAACCTACTAGCCCAGCCCGGCCCCATGGTGGCCCCTGGAGAAAATATGACCCTTCAATGTCAAGGAGAACTGCCAGACTCAACATTTGTCCTGTTGAAGGAGGGGACTCAAGAGCCTTTAGAGCAACAGAGGCCAAGCGGGTACAGGGCTGACTTCTGGATGCCAGTGGTGAGAGGTGAAGATTCTGGGATCTATAGCTGTGTTTATTATTTGGATTCTGCTCCCTTTGCAGCTTCAAATCACAGTGACTCCCTGCAGATCTGGGTGACTGGTAAGGTCCTGGAGACTTCAGTTAAGAGTTAGAAGTTTGTAGTTTTTAGCAGTTAGCAAATAAGAGAGTAGAGGGTTGGGCTCAGAGCCACTTCTTCTAACTCCATGTCCTTGTTGGTTGCAGATAAGCCCCCCAAACCCTCTCTGTCAGCCTGGCCCAGCATGGTGTTCAAGCTAGGGAAGGACATCACCCTTCAATGCCGGGGACCCCTGCCAGGTGTTGAATTTGTCCTAGAACATGATGGAGAGGAAGCACCCCAGCAGTTCTCCGAGGACGGAGACTTCGTTATCAACAATGTAGAAGGAAAAGGCATTGGAAACTACAGCTGCAGCTACCGTCTCCAGGCCTATCCAGATATCTGGTCAGAACCCAGTGACCCCCTGGAGCTGGTGGGAGCAGCAGGTGAGGAGACAATCCCCCTCTGGTGGTCCTGGCATGACGCATGTGGGATCCCAGGGACAGTCCCCGTGGAGACACCCCGAACAGGAGAAGGGAGGGGCATTGGAGTCAAGATGTTGAGGAGGTGGGGCCTCAGGTTCACTCAAAGACAGTGAGAGGAATTCTTTCAGGCCTTTTCCCTCCACCTTTCCTGGGTCACTGACCATCCCTCTGCAGGCTCAGCACATGGCTCCCACGTGAACCCTGGAGGAGGCCAGAGTAAGGAGGCCACACGAGATCAAGGGAGACGCACACGTGCTAACCTCCGTGGCCTTGGTCTCTGCTCTTTGATCACCACAGGGCCAGCTGCTCAGGAGTGCACTGTGGGTAACATTGTCCGGAGTAGCCTGATCGTGGTGGTTGTCGTAGCCTTGGGGGTGGTGCTAGCCATAGAGTGGAAGAAGTGGCCTCGACTCCGAACCAGGTAAATGCCTCATCTCGGCCTCCTTCTGGGACACCTGAGTGCTGCTAGAAAAACAGGGATCCCCATGCTCCTCTAGCATCCGAGCCCTGCCACGTAGCCTGCTTTTAGGTTAACAGTCCTGGATTCTCCCTTAGTCCTGTCTTTTTCTTTACACAGGGGTTCAGAGACAGACGGAAGAGACCAGACCATAGTCCTTGAAGAGTGTAATCAAGAAGGAGAACCAGGCACCATCACCAACTCTCCCTCTTCACCCTCTCAGGAAATCTCAGTGGAACTGCCAGTGCCGTTGTAGTACTTCCTTTGCAAGAGCTTTCCTGTCCTCTCTTTTACCCTCAGATGCCTGCAAATCTACTGCTTACCCTGGGAGTCAGCCCCATCTACTGATCCTTGACCTTTAATCACCTGAGCTCTGTCAAGGGGATTCTGGGAGTTGAGGCTTCTACCAGGGTGAGATGTTTCCTGAAGAGAGGTTCCCCACCCTATAACTCCTCACTGTACTGATTTACTGGTGCATGAAATTCTATTAAAAACATATTCTTCTGAATAAAGAGAGTATTCACTATTTAACTGCAAAAAATGGTGGCAGTGGTCTTCTATTGGTCTGTTGTCCACTCACAGTTTAGCAGGAGCAATGTATTGGGCCTGATCACCAAGGCATAATATCAAAGCATGGAACTACTAGGACAGAGAAAGAAGTTCAAAGAGCGGGGAGGAGGGAGGGCTGCAAAACAGGTATTTCCCAATTTTGGTTAAGACAGGACACTGACCAGAGGGTCCTTTTGTCCTTCTATCGCATGATTGAATGAATGAATGAATGAAAAGGTGAATGAATGAATGAATGAATGAATAGCAGTGTTTCCCTCCAAGCTGAGCCCAAGGATAACTAACACCAAAGTTGCATCCTTTATACCATGTTACTTTCAGGTCCCTCCCTGGTATACCTGCTTTCAAACAGCAGAATTAACCCTTTTGGAACACTGAAACTGGCCCAGTGTGCTTTCTGATCCTTATCTAACAATTGCGGACTGCAAATTAGTTCACTTGTAGGGATAGATAACTGAAAAAAGCTGAATGTTTGCCCCTCCCTATATGAAGGCCTGTATTCCCAAAGAAATGCTCTTCTAGTGGCGGGAATCTCAGGGAATACTCAGGTGAAGTGGATGGTTTACAGCAGGGGATCCCAGATGGGGGCTGACCCTCATTCCCAGCCTTTGGCCACCTTTCATCTTGGATCAACATGCCCCTTGGTCCATTAGTTTGGGAATTCAGTACACATTAGGGGTGTGAGATTACAGAAGGAAGCTTACCTAGTTCCTGAACCTTGTTCAAGACCTCAGAAAAATAGATCTGTGAGTCCCAGAGGAGGTCCTGACCCCTTCAAACAACACCCTAAAGTTCTCTGTTCCCAGCATTGTTTAATTTCTAAGCTAATACTGTTCAATGGAGCAATGTACAAGGGTTTAGCACACAGTGAGTCATTTATCCCTGGTTACAATAAAGTTTAGAAAGCAACTGCTATATTCTTGTATTAGGAAATGTATTTACCCAGCAAGTTAATGAAAAAAGTGCATCCCATTTCCCTTAATCTTTACAGAATGAAACACTCTGAGTATTATAGACTAATTTGTAGTAAGCTCTCTGGAATGTAGAAGTACAAAGTCCCACTCTGATTTCCATTTGATGAGATTCTATTAGTCGCTTATACTAATTTCTTATAGTGTTTCTAAAAATCGCATTTCAAAAGTGCTTTTACATTTGAATGTAGCCAAAACTAATTGTTGCTTTTTGCCGAACACCACTCTCTGCCCTCAAACTCTCTGTCTCCAAGCCTCAATCATGCTGTATGTTTTGAACACTGGAAGGAGGCCCATCCTTGATCCTTTATTTTAGGATAAAAGTCTTTTGATCAGGTCTGATTTTTTTCTCCAATCTTTGGGTGTTCCAAAGTATATATTGTCAAGGTTAGTAGTAGAGCTGTGCAAGTTACCAAGCAATTGCTTGATTGCTTTAGCTGTTCACGAAGATAAAGAGAAATGGGAAAAAAAGAGCAGAGAGCAGAGGACTGAAATTTAGAAAGCCTTCAAGTTAGCAACGCAGGATGAAGATAAAGCAAACACGACAAAAAAAAGACTCTTGTGAAATCCAGCCATTGAACCTGGGGTCTGTTGTGTCAAAAAGGTTCAAACAGAGATCCTCCCGCAATCAGAGAAAGTTCTGATAAACCTTGCAGTGAGAAACCAAAAGTGAGATATATATTGACACTGGACTATTGGTTGGCTTTTGAAAACATTCATATATTTTATTAGAGAACCACGTTCTACACATTTGGGGGGGGGTAGTTGTCAATTAGTTGTGAAATACTTAATGACAAAGAATGGCTTTGGGATTTAACTTTACTAGTCTGTCAGAGCCCTCTCAATGAATTAAGTATCTATTTATAATGCAGAAGTCCTAACAAACTATCTCAATGAATTAAATATCTATTTATAATGCAAACGTAGCTTGTTGCTGACAATTCTCCACATGGTATGTTTTTTCAACCTGGTTGCCATGGGAATCAGTCCCTTTACCCCTGGCTGGCCTCTAATCATCAGCCCAGCATCAAGTAATTTCTGGGAAATGGAATCTCAATTAAGATGGAATGGACTTTTGAGAGGAGAATTTGTCTCTGGGACTCCAGGCAGAAAGGCCAAAGACCTCTACCAAGTCCTAAAAAATAAATGTAAATTACCCCTGATCTTGGGATCACACATTTTTGGCTCCAGTATCTGAGAGCTATAAAAATTGTCAAGTAAATGTGACCCAATTTGGCACTCTGAATGGAATTCCCTATATATCAAAGCTGACAGGTAGATACACAGCCTCTTCTTGTATACATCCAGGGATAGGGAGCTCACTACTTTATGAGATAATCTGAGAATTCCACATTGCTCAGTTAATCCCATATCTAACTGTTTATATTACCTTCATAATCACTGGTTCTAGTGCAACCCAGATGAAATTTACCTCTTCTTCTGTTTTGCTTTTTTTTTTAATAGAATTTTCCTTTTGGATGCTTTTAATTTAATTTATCCTTTCATTTTAAAATTTTTACAACACAGAAAAATAACAATTGCACATATTTATGATGTACCTTGTGATGTTTCATTACATGTATACAATGTAATATATAACGTATACCAGCCAGGGTAAATGCATCTATCTCCTCAAACACTGAATATTTCCTTATAGTGAAAACATTCAAAATCCAATCTTCTGGATTTTTAAACTATTTAATTTATTTGAAAGGCAGAGAAACAGATGAAGAGAGGTTTTCCATCTGCTGGCTCACTCCCCAAATGTCTGCAATGACCAGAGCTGGGGAAGACCAAAACCAGGAGCCCAGAAGTCAATCTGAGTCTCCCGCGCAAGTGGCAGGCACCCAAGTGCTTTTATCATCACCTACTGCTTCGTAGGGCACACATTAATAGGAAGCTGAATCAGAATGGAGCTGAGACTTGAACTGAGGCATGCTGGTATGAGACGTGGGTGTCCCAAGAGGTGACTTAACGGCTATGCCATGTGGCAATCTCTATTTTTTTTAAGATTTATTTATTTACTTGAAAGTCAGAGTTACACAGAGAGGGAGAGGGAGAGGGAGAGAGAGAGAGAGGTCTTTCATCCACTGGTTCACTCCCCAGTTGGCCGCAACGGCCAGAGCTATGCCTATCCAAAGCCAGGAGCCAGGAGCTTCTTCTGGGTCTCCCACGTGAGCACAGGGGCCCAAGGACTTGGAACGTCTTCCACTGCTTTCCCAGGCCATAGCAGAGAGCTGGATCAGAAGTGGAGCAGCCAGGACTCGAACCAGCGCCCATATGTGATGCTGGCACTGCAGGCGGCAGCTTTACCTTCTAAGCCACAGTGCCGCCCCCCGCTATTTTTTTAATACAGAAATATACAGTGCATTAACATTTTCTGCAGTCATTATACTGTGCAATACAAACATCTACTTCTTGCACATAACAATCACAGAAAATTTGTAAAACCAGAATTAGCCACACAGTCTAGTAGTTGTCACTCAGTGGTGCTTCCAGAGTTTGGCCAACATTCATTTGTAGATGGACCTATGTAATTAACTCTCAATTAGCCAGGTTCCAGAGATACCAAAGTTCATGCCTAAGCCACTCCTGCCAGATTCAATCAAGCATTGTATGCCTTATATTTCTGTCTATTCTTCAAATATTTATTGGTTGCCTTCTATATGGCAGACACTGTTGTTGGCACTGGATACAGTAGTGAATGGGAGAGGCAACAATTCCTACCATTCCAGGGCAGAAAACATAATTATTAGAACCAGTAACACATTGTATGAAATATTACATGGAGATAAGTGCTGTGATGAAAATAAAGTAAAGGAAGAAGATACAGAGGTGTACTTTGTGGGGAACTGTGATTGTAAAGGGTAGTCTAGAAGACCTTACTAAGAGGGTGACATTTGAGTTGTGATTTCAAAGACATGAAGTCTTCTAAAAGACATCAAGTCGTGCAGCTGTCTGGCAAAGTATGTTCTAGTCAGAGAGGACAGCGGGTGCCAAAGCCTGGACGCAGGAGAATGCCTGGCTAGTCGGAGGAACTGTGAGTAGGTCAGTGTGGAGGGAACAGAGCAAGCAAAGAGGAAGGTAAGAAAGAGCTGAAGTCAGGGAGGTAATGCGACCATGACCAAGAAAGACCCTGTAGGTATTCAAAAGGACTTTGACTTACACCCTAAATGAAATAAGAAGCCAGAGGAGTGGAATTTCATTTAAATAGGACCCTCCAGCCTTCTTCATGCAGAACAGATGGAGAGTGGCCTAGGTGAAAGCAGAAAGATTTGTTAGACTATTGCAATAATCCTGGCAAAGGTGGCTGGGTTAGGCTGGGATGGTAGCAAAAGAGGCAATGAGAAATAGTCAGTTGTTGTGATATAATTTAAGGAAAGAGTCGACAGGATTTGCAGACAGATTGAATGTGGGGTGTGTTCTGTAAACATTTTCATTAGAAGAAAGAACTGTTTCAAATACTGCTTTCATGTTTCCCTCCCTGGATTATTTTCATCTCATCCACAAGAAAGAGTTTTCAATTCCTCCCAGTCTAGGTCACCATTTATGGACAGTTTGTCAATGACTTTGTCATGGTCCATCTAGAAACGCTGGGTGCCTGCAGTGATCTCACTAGCACAGAGTACAGAACACAGTGAGAGGATTACATTCTGGGATCTCAATTTAACATTGCCATTAATGCCATTGAAAATTACATTAGTCCTCAGGCAGCCAGATCACACAGTTGCCTCACAGGAAACTTGTGGTCTACTGAAATCCACAGCTCTTTTTCGCACAAGCTTTTGCCAATTCAGTCTTGTACTTTCCTTGTGCAAGTAATGAATGTGTTATTTTGCAATTGAGTTTTTAACTAAAATGTAAGACTTGACATACATTCCTGTTGGGTTTTATTGTAGCAGTCCCAGCTTGCAGAGGTCACACATTACCACTTGGTGAGCCTCTTTCTATTTGTCACTCCTGTAGGCACTGTCTCAACTACCTCCTCACCACAACGGGTGGG